GTGTGTGTAATGAAGATCTCTATTTTCTTACTTACTCTTTTATCTACTCTGTATCTGGGAAAAGCACATAATGGAAAGGTAGCATATATTTTTCTTTAATAATTATTACATGTGAATCCCCTAATCAAGCTGGATGATGCCATCAATGTTGATGAGATAATGAATGATACTTCTTCCAATTACCTGCTGTGTATCTGTGAAAATAAAGAAACTATTAAGGACAAAAAAAAGGGAAACATTTTTATTGGCATTGTGGTAAGTACTTTGTAGGTGACGAATAAATGATAGATTGTCATGGTCTATCTAAATATGTGTTATCATTTGTAGTTATAACGAGCATGTCTGTTGATGTGTCCCCTCAATTAATTGCACTGTAAAAACATTTTCCTTATATTGTTGTTCAGTGTCATTGAGTCAGTTCTGACTTAGAGTGATCCTGTATAGAGTTTCCGAGGAGCAGCTGATGAGTTTGAACTGTTGACCTTGTGGTTAGCTGTGCAGTATTTTTCCCCATAATTGTTGTTAAATGCTGTCGAGTTTATTCCAACCCATAGTGACCCTGTATAGGGTTTCCGGGGAGTAGCTGGTGAGCTTGAACTGCCGAGCTTGAACTTGCAGTTCAAACTGACTTTGCAGTCTAATGCATTAACCCACAGCGCCACACCAAGGACTCCTTTCCCCATACTATTATATATTAAATCACTGGTTAATTTTCTCATGTGACTACTTGGCTCTACTCTCTATAGTATAAGCTATAGAGAGAACCAGGTGGTTTTGGGCCATGTGCTCTAGGATTTGAGGCTTGAAGGTAGACACAGTGACAGCCATGCCTGTGGGCAGTGTACAGTTAGCAGAATAAAACACTAGGCTGACACATGTATGAGGAGCAAAGGGATTTATAAATGTCCTGTGGGGGCATAGAATTGTTATCTCTCGAGGCAGGGATAACTAAAAGAAAATGCTAATGGGCCAGTGCAAAACTTTGTGGGAATTTTTACAAGCAGTCTTCCATAATTAGAATTTATGAATCATAGCTTATTGATCTTGCTGTATTGTGGCAATATATGTGTAAATTTTCCCATTTACAGATCTACCTGGGCTCTGTTCAGCATCATATTCTTTATTGCCTTTTAGAACTACTAGATCTCCCTTGTTTTGTTGTAAGTTATGTAAAACAGGACTTCTTTTCTAAGTAATAACTCATTCTAACTATTGCCATGGATACCTAATTTTTGCAAAGAGACATAAGCAACATGCATTTTTTACATCCTGATGTCTCCAGTGTACCTTTCATACCTACTCTGGCTGCATGAACTCTGTGCTAACTTGACATTTGCTTAGCCAACAAGCCCTTCTCTCTGGGAATTTCATTGCTGTTGAGATTGGCAGACTGAATGATTTTTTATCCTTGAGAAGCAGTTTTTGTGTAGCCACAGACAGTGAGCCCTGCCTTCAAAGAGTAAGGCTATTTGCTTTTAAGCTTTAACATATGTACTGTGCTATTTTATATTTGCCTGAACCTCATTCTAAAGTGCACAGTTGATAGCACACAGTGCCTGCTTAATGCTTTTAGAAATACCCTTTGGCCCACTGCCAAAGTTAATCATAGTGTATGAACCGGGGCAGGAAAAAATGAGAAATGGTAGTTTGCCCCTCAAACTTCTTTTTTTTTTAATGTTTTATTATGAATTGAATGACGGTTTGCACTGCAGATCATCAGTTTTACATTCAACACTTTGCTGCACTACCATGATGGCAATCCCTTCCATGTACCATCAGTTCACAACCTCTGTTCACTGTTTAACTGTTGTGTTCCTCCCTGTGTCTGTCACTACCTTCGTCTTTCCTCTGTTGTATATAGCCTGCCTTATCACCCATGTTAATATATCTGCCATCTAGCCCATGAATAATTCTCTCTCCCTCCACCTGTAACCATCATAGAATGTTTCTTTTGCCAAGAAAACCTTTGCTTAACTTTTTATAGCATGGGTCTCATGCAATTCACTCAGCATAATGTCCTGCAGGTTCACCCATGTTGTGAGGTGTTTTGCAGATCCATTATTGTTATTCAAATTTGTATACAATGTTCCATGTGAACTGGGAAAGAATGTGTATTTTGCTATTGTTGGGTTGAGTGCTCTGTGTAAATCTATGGGGTCAAGTTGCTAGATTGTGTTGTTTAGTTTTTCTGTGTCTTTGTTGAGTTTCTTTCTAGTTGTTCCATCCTTCAGCAAAAGTGGTGTATTCAAATTTATTATTGTAGTGTTGTTGCTTTCTTTAGTTCTCTTAGAGTTTGATTTATGCATTTTGAGGTTTTTTCATTATGGTCATAGATACGTAATATGTCTTTGTGTGCTTGTTTAGTTGACCCTTTAATCATGATACGTGGTCCTACTTTATCCATGGTAAACAACATAGGAGGTGCCTACACACATGAACCTCACCAGATAGAATA